TTGTTGTAAACAAGAGTGAAGCTCCTGTTGCATCTGGTCAACACTGTAATGAAATGATGCTGAACAAAGAAAGCCGTGTAATTCAAGGACCTGTTGTGTTTAAATCACAGCCTCCAAGAGCGTGGCTTATCCTCTTGGTGGTGGGAGGAACTGTGCTTGTTAAGAGCACAGGGTTGGTTTGAGAAACCTTTATCACATGATTGTGTTAATAAACCATCACTAACATTCGAGGGTTTCAGAACAGTGACATCCACTGATGAAGCTACCTCTGCTTTGTTGACATAAACATTCATGTCAAACAGAATGTGTTGGCTGTATCTTTTGTTTTTAATGGCAGTGCATTTGTAGGAGTTTTCAGATGGCTGCGTCATTTCTCCCATCATCAAATGTAGATAACAGGGAGGCTGAGCGGGCAGATTTTTGTGTTGGAGGCTGTAGGTTCAAATCCCACTTTGTGTGGTGGACCTAACGTGCCACTGGGTGGGTGGTTAAAGCATCGGGATCTTGGGTGCTGTTTAGTTTTTTGAGTTGTCAGAAGCATTTCGGGTGCTTCTGGGGTCACTTGATTGTTTACAAAGTTATTCGCATTCACACAGGGCTTCTGACCGGAGTGGCTCAGGGGTTGCTGCAAAGCATCGCACTGAGATGTTTCCCCCCTTTTAGTAAATCGAAACTCAACACTGGCACCAGGCTATGGGCATTTTGTGTGTGGAGGGGATGGCAGGGGTGAAATGAAGAGGAGAATTGCCCCAGGAAATGAAGAAACAGATTTCAACCTTGACTTTGCTTCCTCCCTCCTATGGCAAGTGAATGTGGTCTCACTAAGGACTTTATGGAGCTGTGGTATTTTCTTTCCTGCTTCAGGGAGAGGGGTTACAAGTATTCTCAGGAAGCCATCATTAGGTTTGAGTTTTATTTTGTTGTTATTGTTGCTCAGTGGGAGTGGGGGAATTAGGGAAATTTTTCTTCCTGTGGTTCTTTTTGTTTTTGTAACTTTACAAGTTCTCCAAATTTTCTTCTACTTAAAATTTGAACTTGGTGCCAGGTGTTTCTGGTATTAAATTGAAGTTAGATGTGCGCCTTGAGTGTTGTGCTGTGTCTAAACATAGAGATTTCTCTTCTACTCTGGAGAGGCAGGTGGGGAAGGAGCGCTTACCTTGCTCGGGCACATAGAAGGGAGGAGGGCTTGGGTTCGGACTCGGTTTGAATCTTGATAACCCTAACTCTGCTTGCAGATCCTTGGGAGAAGGTGCAGAGTTCATTTTTCTTCTGTAAAACAAGCACTATGAAAGGGTAAATGAAATACTCTATGGGAAGTTTGGCACATGGTGATGCACAAAGAAATCTTAGTTTCCTTCCCCTCACACACGAGCCATTGCCTCCTCCATCTCTGTCACATCTTTTCAAAGTCGCCCACACCCGAGAACATGGTGGCCATCCCTAGCTTGGGTTACTCTAGCTTCCTTTGGAAAACCTTTTCCATGTTCATGGATGGCTGGGCCTAGGCACTGTGCATGTGTGTGTGTGTGTGTGTGTGTGTGTGTGTGTGTGAGAGAGAGAGAGAGAGAGAGAGAAATTGGCAGTGCACTGAGCATCACTATGACCACAGTGGGTTCATATGCATTTGGTACCTAAGTGGTTAACAGTCATTACTAGCTGAAGACTGTTAACCAGAGGGTGCAAGGGTGCATTCTTCCCTATGGGACTGTTAGTACATCAAAAGGATGTTTTTAAAAATCTCACTCCATAGTATATGTGCGGGGAGAGGGGAGAGTAATTAAGAACCATTTGTCACCTAGCTCAGCTCAATAGACATTTTTTTGTTATGCTAAGAACAAGAGCAATTTAACTGAACTTAAATGACTAAAACTGTGGCTTTAGCAAAGACTTCAGCAATGTGGGTTTTAGTCCCTCTGTGAAAATCAGGGTGGTTTAGAAACCTTTCTGGAGACACACCTTTAAAATTAGTTATACACACGCTGTCTTCACAGATCCAGGTTTTACAAACCAACCACACAACAGCAGTACTTTCGTAACTCTAGGTTGCCTTTGTTAATTTAGGAGGGACTTCATTCTTATATTTAGGAGGGCAGTTCAAAGTTTGATATTCTTATTTCCCTCAGCAATGAAAAGTTCTTACTAAGTTTCAGAATACATTTAAAATATTACATTATGGTAGTAAAATGTTATTTTTAAATGATCATATTCTTTGATAAACATGACTCGAACAAGTCGGTCTTCCATGGGCCAAGCACCACCCTAGGCATTTGTGGTGAGAGCAAACCCCGAGGGGTCTGCTCAGCAGGCCCCTGGGGACCCCGTCAGCTGGGAGGCCAGAGGATTGGGCGTGGAAGGCTAGAGCCTGCTAATCTAACTCCTTCCTGAAGTTTGTGTGGAGGGAGGGGGTGTTTAACTTTCTTTCATATAAGTAATATACGTTTTCTATAGGAAAAAACAAACAAAAAAGAAGCAGAGCTAGCCAAAGACCTCTGAAAAGAAAGACTAGCAACTGTCCTGCTCTCCAGCGCCGTGCACATCTCCTGAACATGCAGGCACACGCAGAGCGGTCGGTGGTCTCAGGTCCACGGGAGCCTGGGCCACCCCACTGTTTCTGACATCCCGAAATGTGCTTTGTACGGCTGAGGACACACTGAAACGGGACTACAAAAACTGTGCTGCATATCAGTGTATACTGACATATATATATATGTCAATGCAGCCTCTGTGTGTGTGTGTGTGTGTGTGTGTGTGTGTGTGTATGCAAAGAGGTCATGACTTGTGGGTGGCTGCATTGGAAGAGAACATCGTAAGTGCAACTTCAAGGCTGGGGCCAACCGTCTTCCTTACCACGCACCCGTTTCCATGGTGGGGCTCCTATGAGAGGTTGTCTCAGAACCCAGATTTTCATTAGCCGGGTAACGTGACATATCTGCCAACAAACGTAACTCTGTATCACTCTCATCACTGTAGGGCAGTCCATTGGATGGGCCACAACATATTAAATTCTTCTCTTGGACATTTATCTCTCACTTTCTTCCTAGTCCAGCACCAGGTGCATAATCTTGTACTTGCTTCTTTACACATTTCCTTACTTATTTCCTTAGGATGAATGTTGAGAGCTATGATTGGTGGGGCAAAATACACCCACCTATTTGTAGGTTTTTGAATTATTCTTTCAAAAGGGAGCCCTCTTGTATTTAGAAAGGGAAGCAAGCCCTCCAAGGAGGGCTGGAGTGCAGCGGTACCCCGGCCTCACTACTGTTTCATTGTCATAACTTCCGAGCAGCACAGACAGGACTTTGTGTGGAGTTCAGGGGCCAGGCAGGCCCAGGCTTTGCCGAGACTGCTCAGGATTGGGGTGCGCAAATGGATAACCTGTGGGGGCAGGCGCTGAGACGGAAATTTGCTCAGATGGATGGAGTCACGAGGGTCTGGGTGTGTGTGTGGCCATCAGGCTGGAGTAGGAAATTGAAAATAAAGAGTGAGTAGAAGTTTGGGTGCCACGGGGAACCCCACCCTCTGTGCAGTGTGAACGCAGGGCCTTCTTGATTCTCAGCCCCATGCACTTTCCCTGCTAGAGTCCCTGACATGAATCGTGCTGTAGCTCCTCCACTCTCCTTCACTTGTAAGCCTCACTCCACTTTGCAGTGAGTTACAGCAAAATATCTATTCTAGTAGGATCAAGTGATGAGAACTCCAGACAAGAACTGATGAGCAGGAAGGGTCTGTCCTGGGTCCCTTTTCCAAGTAGCCCATCCTTCAAACCCAGATTGTCAATGGCCAGCCAGTTCTATGCTCCTGGCCTGGCTCACTTGAAAACCAAAATTTAAGGACTCTACTCCCCAGTCCCCATTCGCTCTAAGGGCTGTTTTTAGCTCCTCACCTCACTGCCAGAGGACTTGGCCCTGCAACTCTCCTTCCAACCCACTGTTTCCTCTCAGTTTCTAACTCAGCAATGCCAGGAACAGTGTCATCAAAGGCAGCACGCCTGGCTGTCCTCCCATCGTCCACCCTTTCACCAGGACTTCCTCTCCCTCTGCCCCTCTCTGTCTGGTCCAGTCCTGTATCTTTCCAGGTACATCCCATATTCTGTCTTCTTTAAGAAGTCTTCTGCCCCCGCTAGCCTTCTAGCCTTCCTCTGAAGCCCCATGGAAGATGATCATGATGCACGCATCCCACTGCGTGACGTAAATGGCACCACATAACTGTGTGTGTACTTGTACCACACGACTTTAAGTTCCTTGAAAGCGAAACTTACAATCTGTTCATCTCCCTCCTCTGGATGTTGAGAATCACTATGCTTTACTCTAAGATACAAATTCCATGAATGAATCAGCACTGAAGGAACATGATCTGATGGATAAGTGAGGTAGAGGAAAGGAGATTGGTGGATAAAAGTTTGCTTTAGCCCTGGCTGAGTGGCTCACTTGTTTGGAGCATTATCCCATACACCAAAATGTGGTAGGTTCAATCCCCAGTTGGAGTGCATACAGAAGGCAACTGATAATGTTGCTCTCTCAAATGGGTGTCTGTTATTCTCTCTCTTTCTCTCTCTCTCCTCCTCCTCCTCCTTCCTCTCCCCTTCCCCTCTCTCTGTCCCCCTCCCTCCCTCCTTCTATTCTTCCCTTCCTCCCTCCCCATCCCTCTCTCCCTAAAACCAATAAACATATCCTTGGGTGAGGATTTTTTTAAAAATTTATTCCATAGACGTATGGTAGCCCCATTTCTCCTAGGAGGGATTTAGGACAGTATTCCAATTGGAAAGGGGCTTTGAGCACTTCATAAACGAGTGAGACAACACTTGTCAAAATAAGGCCGATGATCCTGGAAAAGAGCTCAGCCTGTCGGGCTCTCCGACATTCTTCCATGTGGATGTTTAACTTTCACTGAATGTAGTACTTTCTGTTTTTGTGTTATGGAATGTTTTACTTTGATTAAATTATTTCCCGCTGTTTTGGAAAGACAGAGTATTAATATCCCATCTCCTCTGCTTCTTGCAGGCAGCGATGGTCCTGAGCTCTGCACACTTCTGGTTGGGATTATTTCTGGTACCTACTGCGTGTCTGATCGAAGACGTGGCATGGAGAGCGTAAGTGAAAAGTGAAGTAGTAACACTAAGTCTTGCTCATCTGTCCCTGCAATTGTCCTTCACGAGTCCTGTTATAGGATATGAAATGCTATGTGACTTCTGGTCTCCTGCCACCTGCCAGTGAAGGATATAAAGGATGTCATGTTTGTTTGTTTTTTTCCTTTTAACCTGTGTTTCACCTTGATATGAGAATATAGACAAAAAAGGAGGAGTCCCAAGAGAGACTGTATGAAGGTTAAGGATGCTCCTTGTACGTGATTATAAGGGAGAACTTCTGAGTATAGACCCTTTCCATCAGGCTTAAGAAATATGACTCAAAATTAATTCTTCCTTATATCTAGAATCAGTGCTAAGTGATCACAAATATAATCTGGCTGTAAGGGAAATTGCATCTGTGAAACCCATTCCAAACTGCAAAATACTTGGAATAAAGTATTCTTGATTTTTCCAAATAATTCACCACAGGAATCCTTCAAATATAATTCTTCTGAAATATCAGTTTATCGGTCTATGAGAAAATTAACCACAAAGATGAAATTATAATTTAGGTTAAAGAGGAAATAATTCATACTTAAATTTTGTTTCTATGTTTTAAAATATGTTATTTCTGAAATATTTTGTATAAAATGTGCAAGAAGCAACAAGGTAATGTAAATGTTTACTTCATCCATAAGCAAAAGGTAGAATGCTGCAGATGAGATCGCATTGATTTTTCTGTTGCGAAGCCTGGTTCCTCCTACAAACAGTGGCCAACCTCCCTGAGAATTGAGAGCCTTGCATTGCATTTACTTGGGGCAAAGCATAATTATTTGGGGGCCCTGAGGTAGAGAATCAAGATTTTAATCCAAACCTTCCAGGAAAAGACATCAGATTTCATTTTTCTCACTCCCTTCCTCCCACACTCAAAGGGAATACTCTTGCCTGACAGTGAAGGATGTCTTTTCAAAGAGCCTTCGTTTTAGCACGGTCCTGACAATAGACAGCACCTAACGCAGACATGGAGGGGAGGAGAGGCCATTTTATAGCACAGGTTTTAATGGTTTTTCTTCTGTTCATGAAGTTTTACAACTGTTAGTAAAAATTAAATAATTCCAATTTCCTAAATGCTCTATCACGCTGTACTCATTTTATCTGCTGAAACTATGTTCTATAAATAGCAGAATCAGAATCTTTGGAAATGAATTACAGTCAGAAAATATTTTTCTGACTGTAATTTAACCAGCGCATGAAAAGAAAACGTTAGGTCTGTTGTAGCACCATAGTTCAATGGTGGAACAATACATTACCTTGCTGAATTTCATCAATTTTGCAAGATAATCGAGTTAGTATTAGTGCCTGGCTATATCAGATGACTTTTCAATCTATAGTGATTGACAACAGTGATTTGACTGTAAATTAATCTCAGGCTAGTTTGTTCCACTACCTTAAATGAATGTCATGAAATTAAAATTTAATTGAGATGGTGTATTTGCCAAGTGAGAGTTGAGCAAAAGTCTCCTCCTGCCGTTTCAAAGAGAATGTTTTCAGGTTACAGTGTCTGCCTCCTTGTCTGCTCTCTGGATCCTCTCCAATACATTCCAAGTAGGAGTTCCTCCTCGTGGGGAAGCAAATTATCTATTCCTTCAAGCAGAAATGTCATCTATTCCCGACTCCTGGCACTGTCAAATTAGCATCGTTTACATGTTAAAGAGATGTCTTTTACATGATTAAATGAGCCTGCATCCAGCTCCACCATATGGACAGAGTAAAAGTCCCTTTCTTTCCCAGAAACTTGCCAGCAGGATGGGAACTCTGTAGAGAAGGCTCTGGTTGGGGCGGGGCGGTGGAGGGGGAAGGATGATCAGAGACTGACCAGGAGCGGAGTCCTACCTGCTGCAGCGCAGCACGGGCCCAGACGCAGCTCTAAGCAGGAGCCACAGCACCTGTGCTTTGGGCTGAGTTTGAAGGCCCCACTGACTGCCACAGGCTTTTCCTGAAAGGCATTTTGTCTCAGTTTTCCTCCGTTGGGGGAATGGGGAGGATAGCGTATGTTAGTTCCCCGCGGAGAAGTGACCCAAAGTATATGCCCAGTTTTTAGTACATGTTTAATGTCGAAACTACCTCTCTCCTCAAAAACAGTCATTTTGCAAGTTTCTTTGAGCATTTTCCTCCGACCACAAGACCTAGGTTTTAGTTCATATTATATTACCAGACTGAGATACTTGTTGTTGAGTCGAGTAAGCTCAGAGGCTTCTCCCAGGAAGAGAAAGCGTAGTACGCGCTGCGCACCTCTGATGAGGCCACGGTTCCAACCTCTGCGTTGTCATTCTGAACCTCGGCTTTATAAAACACGTTCTGTTTCTCCTTTCTGCCCACCGACCTACAATGTTGATCCTGCATGTCCAGGTCCATCATTTGGTTCAAATTGTCCAATATTTACCGAAACATGACGTGCTGTGATGCACCTTGGATTTGAAGGAGAATTTAAAATGCGGTGGGTGAGAGTTAAGGCGCAGCCGCAGAGCCTGTGCTGTCCAGCCGCAGGCGGCCAGCGGGAGCCCAGCAGTTTGGTTACAGTCCTTCAGTCTTGCCTCAGACCAATCTCGTGTTTTTTGTCTTGCTTTGAATTTTGGCGGTCAGCTATTTCGAAAGAGCTTTTAAATTCCAGCACAAGGCAGCCCTGCCTGTTCCCATACTTCTACGAGTGCTTAAGAAAGTGAGTTCTATTTTCCTGCATTTCCCCCACCTTTGCCCCAGTCTCTCTTTTCCATTTTGGGGCTTGGAGTGTTCAGAGTAAGAAAAAAATAGCATGAGGTTGTTTGGTCATTTTTTCCATAAAGTCTGTCAACTTTCTGGATGAAGACCCATTACTAGACTATCGTAAGTAGGATTTATGCCATAAAATACCTACTTTGTTATCCCACTAACCAGAATTTTCATGAGGGACCAAACTAATATATCTCTTATTAAAATAATTGATTGATTATATGTGATACCTGGCTAATGAGTATTTTTATTAGAAGCATGAAGTCTAAATTGCCCAGAACTATTTTAATATCCTTTAGCTTACACTCTTCCAAAATGTTTACCTATGACAGCATTCTTAGTAAGTTGCCATGTACTTATTCTCCTCTAGGAGAAACTTGTCAGTATTGCTTTAGAAAAATAATATAAAGCTCAAGGCCACTGAAGCTGGGAACCAGTCCCTTTTATCTAGATTGTATCTCCTGTAGTCTACCAGTCAGCACACAATGCATTCAGCAATTCCAGAATGACTTCATTTCCTTACTCTAATCCCAGTAGGCAGTTAAGTGGAAATAAAAGGTAATAAGAAATTTCTGTATACAAATGGGCCTTGATTTTTTTTTGAACTTTCTAGCTACACTAATTTCTTTTGAAGCACATTGTGTGCACATTTTCATCCACATTTGGAATTTAACATTTCCTTTTAGCTTGCTACATCCTTCCATGTAAAAGAAAGAGTGCAGGGAAAAGTTTCAGAAACAAAGAAATGAAAAGGTCAAGTTTCGAAGCCAATCTATGTATTGGAAAATCCCCTAATAACCCAGAGATACCCTTAGCGCTATCTGTCGGCTCACGTCAGGCGGATGAACGTCACGCCCTCTGACAGCCACCGTGCCCCGCCCCTTTTGTGATCGTCTGGTCTCTTGACGTGGGGTGGGATGAAGCAAATCCTGGACCACTGAGGATAAGGCCTTCAAAGATAAGGAGCTCACTTTGTCCGGGCTGCCGCTCACCAAAGCCAACCTCCAGCTCCTGATGATATACCTAAATTATACACCCGTGCCTAATCCTGAAAGACTGGCTTTGAAAACCTTCACTTACTAGGTTTTAGTCAGTTCACATGTAGACTTTGACGGGGGAGATTTTAGAATCATTTACCTAATTAAGGCCTTACTAGGTAGACGTTCTTGAGAGAACAGTTTCACATTGCTAGCATCACTTCCCCAGGGCTGCATGTGGAGAGTAGCAGATCGGACCCACTGGCTGGGTTCCCAGGCTGGATCTCAGCTCAGCACTGGATGTGCTGGAAATCGCTGAGTGACTCTTCGACATGGATGCAGTACCTCCACTGAGAACCTGTCCAGAGCCCGGCGGCATCCAGATATATTTAGGTCGTTGCCCTGAGAGGTGATTTTGTGAATGAGTAAAAAGTGGTAGTTTCAATGCTTTGGAGCAGATTCCTTTTGTTCTTGGCCTAAGCTACTGCTATCCAGTGCCCTAGGCCCAGTGACCCAGCCTTCCCATTCCAGACCTGCTTCTTAGAGTTGCCCTTTTCTCCCCGGCCAGAAGATAATACTGAGGGCTGGTGTAGAGGTTGTGAACCCTGCTTGCTCTGTGTGGGGCACGAGGGAGGGAGGGTGATGAAACGAGAGAGCATGTGCATCCTTCGGTGTGGACCAGACACATTCTCATGGGACCTCCGTGTCCGGTGAATCCAAGCGAGATGGAGGTTGTTATTATTACAGCCTCAGAAGCCCATGAGATAAAAGAGAAAGTTTGAAGCACAGTATATTCAATCATATAGAACGGTGCAAACTTTAATGTTCTTTTTGCCTTCTTCCCAGTAAAGTGTTAAACATTTTCTCATTTATTGTTTAGATTAAAATTCCTCAGTCTCTGCTTTAAACTGTAGTATTTTATCACTCCTGAGTCTCAGGATGCCAGTGGATGTGATTAAGGTATTATGTGCTAAAACCTGTGTGGTTCAGTCCTCTTGTTTACTTTGGGGAAAAGGAGTGACAGGCACTATACAGTGTCTCGTACTGATACTCCATTAGAGATTAACTCGGGAGTGTTAGCGGATGACTGGGCCTTATCTTAACAGACTTTCTTTCCTTGATGGTGGAGGGTGGGCGGGGCTAGAAACAGCTCAGGTCTTCAGAACATCCCCATTACACTCACTGTTTTCACGTCCTCGAAGATATGGGCTGTGTCTTTGTCCTTATTCTGTCTTTAAGAACCGGTGTTTAGCGGGGTCCTCATGTTCATTTATACTAAAACTAATGAAAAGGTTTTCATAATACAGGGTGTTAGGTTTATGGTTTATGGCAAAAGTAGGTTTATGGTTGTAAGTATGCAAAACACAGCATTGATTCTTGTATTATTTATTAATTATTGTACTATTTTCCATACGATCATCTGTAAATGTACTTTTGCTCCTCCCTACATTGCTAAGCGCTCCCTATATTGCTAAGTCACAAGTGTTTTTCTTTCTACAGCTCTCCTCCATGTCTAACTTGTATTTAGTTAAATGCCTTTTCTTCACCTATGTTTCCAACCAGTAGCTTTCTGTTTAGTCTCAATCTTAGGAAGATCCTGAGATGAGCCACTTATTTGAACAGCAGTTTAATCAGAAAGAGGGTACAGGCAGCTCTTCCCGTACAGGTACAGTTCAAGAGGGACGTGCCAAGGCTGAGGTTGGAGAGGCCAGCTTGCCACCAGGTGCTGACGCCATGGAGGTGCACAGCCTGCGCTCTCCTGTACGGCCGCACGAGAGAAGCTGTGCCTGGGGACTTGTGTTGACCCCAAGCTTCAGGTGGAGGGTTTGGCATGAAAAGCGTGAACACTAGCATTATAAATGTTATTCCTGCTGCGGCAGTGGCTCTTTTCACACTAAAGAGAGAGAAGAAGCCGTTCACCCCAAACTTTCTCATCACAGTAGAGGACAGGGCCAAGGGACCGGCACACATCCACTAGGGTGGGGATTTAAAGCATCTTCTGAGTTGTTAGGTCCTGCCGTGAAAAGCTTTAGAGATAGACCCAAGAGTGTCCAGGAAACCCAGTGTTTTCTCTGAATGGTTGGGGTCCTCAGACCGATCTGTAAACTTTCAGCAAAAAAACAGTAGTTTTATGTGGGTGACCCCCAATGTTCTACAGAAGTCGGGGTGCCCCCCAGGTGGAGCCTTGGCCATGCATGGGGACTGCGAATGCTCCATGGTCCCTAAGCCTGAGCATCGGTCAGTCAAAGGGCATCTGGATGTGGCCCAGGAGGAGGACACCCAGTCTTCATAGCTGTGTACATTCCATGTGTGATATTCTTACTGCCTTTTCCTTGTGGCACAGGGCCAAGCACACCTGCAAGAAGACACTGCTGGAGGAGGTACAAGAGCTGGAAACGAAGATGGGCAAAACGGTGCTTCGGGACAGTAACGGGAAGAGGTGGGCTCCTCCCTCCAACTCTTTGAGGAACCCGCGTTCTCCCAGCCCTTTTCCCTGCTGCCCCTTCCCGTGTTTCCTTCTCTCCTATTGGTTTTCCATGTGAGCGTGGGGTGCTCAGTATCCAGCATTTTGGTTATTCTCTTAGAGTGTAGTCATACTCAGATTTAAGTCACATTCTCTCGGCAGCAACATGGAATCTGATGTTCTGGTTCACTAGGCCTGACCTCAGGCCAAACTGCGGTTCTCACTAGGTCTGGACATGGGCAAAAAGAAGGCCAGGTACAGAAAATACTATAAATAGTAGCAATATTATCTTAAGATGGAAAAAATTCAGTGTTAGCAGCAGTACCGAAAAGTATTTAATAAGTAGGCCTTTGGGTATCAGCCCAATTGTTATACTAAAGCATCTACCATGAAACTTTGCATGCTGTTCACGTAAATGCATATGATCCATATAAATCTCCTTATACTTCACTTCATGCATACCTGGGGTTTTGTTTTGTTTTTTTTTTTAATGAATTATTATTTTCTGCTGGTGTTGAGAAAGTGTTATGCTTCTTACTGGCTGGTTCATGGAGACGAATGCCATTGGTCCCTGTCCTTACTTCTCGTAGCACATCAGCCTTCTCTTCTCCACACCTAATAGTTGGGCATGTGAGTAGTTTCTGTTTAATTACATGTTAAATGTTATCAGATGGCATTTAGTTAAAATCCAAATCCTGCCAAAGGAAATTTACCTGGACCCAAGAACAATTTGCAGTGTAATAAAGAGGCACGACTGTATTAGAGACATGGGATGTCTGGAAAATCACGAGTGCAACTCTTGTGCAAATAAATGCTTAGAAGGAAATCGGTAACTAACTGCCAGTGGGGGAGAAATCCACACTTCTAGAGATTCCTACTATACATTTTAGTTAGTCTGTTTATTTGTACCATCTTTCAAAGCAATGAAGACAAAACATTTTTCAAAGGAAAGAGAACCCAAACATTTTGAAAAGTATAAGGAGCACAATTTCCTATAACTGCCACTATTTTAGGAATAGTATTATAGAATACATAGTCAAAGTTGTGTTTTTTGTGTTTATCTAGGACTGATGTTTTTTAATAAGTGAGTCCATAGTATTTGTTGTATAGCAACTGTGCCAGTCACTCCAAAAAAGTCACTGTTGATGAGATGGAAATATCACTGTCTTCAGTAAGCTCATGGCCCGACAGTGGGGCAGGGCCACACTTCTAGCAGTTTTCTCGGCAACCACCACGCCAGACGGCACACAGTTCCAGCATGAGCAGGGCCATGCTGCCTCTTCAGTACTTTACGCAGGTGATTAGCACCTGCTACATTTTCAGGGACCTACAGAATTCTTTGAGATCTGAAAAGAAATGTATTTGTAGGCTCTAAAAATAAGGGAAGGCCTCTGCAAACTGAAATGAACAAATGTTTAACACTTAACAAGATACCTGTCAGTCTTAATTACTGTCAAGCTTAATAATCAAAATAAGTTTTGTCATTATTTGTATATAACTGACAAGCTTTCCTATCTCAAGGATTCTCAGGTATACACAGGGTTGTTGAGAGGTCATAAGTAATTCTAAGTAAAATGAAAGTTTTAAGGCAAAATTCTAAAACTCCTTCCCAGCATTGGACAGGAAAACATTACACAGAATGTGGCATGAAAATGCACTTTGACATGGCTGGGGCAGCCTGGACGTGAGGTCAGTAGCACGCAGGCCTTCAGAAGAGGAAGCAATCTGGGAGGTCATCTGGCCTAAGAAATCCGGAAAGGCTTCTTGTGGGAGACAGGGTGGAAAACAGAGCTTCGAGGATATAAAGAACTTGAAAAGACAGAAATGATGCGAATGTGTTTCCAGCAGAGGGCACAAGTCAGGTTGTGTGCAGGGAGCAAACCCCACTCAGTTTGGAGGGTCACGGGCGTCTCACAGAGATTTGGAGTCTGTGTTTAAATTCTGGCTCAGTCACTGATAGGCCACATGACCTTGAGCAAGATATTCATATAATAGATTGTCTCTTTATCAGTTAAAGAAGATGACTAATATTTGGAGCAGAGAGGGTTTAGGGTTCATGAACACTATGGACAAGACAGCATATTGCCTGACCCATGGCCGGAACGCAGACTGGTCTGCAGGCTGGCCGGAGAGCCATGTTTTTTGACGGAAGCGGTGGGTCGTCAGCCTCGAAAAAGAGTGTGAGCCCATCTTGTTGTTGATTTAAAAAAATGCAATTTGTAAATTTCACTTGTCCTGTTCAGAATTCACTTTTAAATGTTCCAATGGATATTAGAAGATAATTGGAGTTCGTATTTTTTCATTGATTAATTTTTGAGAGGGACAGGGAAAGAAACACTGATTTGTTGTTCCACTTGTTTATGTATTTATTGGTTGATTCTTGTATGTAGGAGCCCTGAGCAGAGATCAAACCTGCAACACTGGCATATCTAGCCAGTGCTCTAACCGACTGAGCACCAAGCCAGGGCCAATAAGTGGAGTTTAAATGTGGTGTCCTACCTTCAAGTTGGTTTTAACATGTGTTTCTTGGGTGCTTTGTAAATTTCATGGCTCCCTTGCTGAAGTGAGCGTGGGTGTGAGTGTGCACATCACCACTTGGTTATGACGGTTTCCTTTTCCTCTGGTTCCAGGGTCTTGTCTCACTTTTGAACTCCTAGTGAAAGATGGTTTGGGGACTCCATCCCTCCCATCAGCCTCAGCAGCCCCCCATTTGTTTTTCTCCCTCTTAATTACTCCCAGAGTCTCTGGGTGGTCCATCTGCAAACTAGATAATGGCAGCATGCTGCTCTCTGCCACAGATGATTTTGTTCTGCCTGGCCTCCCCAGAGCTGCCTCACAATTTCTCCTTTATCACCTTTGTTTGCTTCTCTCAGCCGTTTTTGGAGTCCCATGTACTCTGGTGCTGGTGGGAATGGAGGAGGCTAAGCCCTGGGATGGAGGAGGGATCTAGAGTTTTTGAACTCTGCTCTTCCTCCTAAAGATTTATAGACTCCATCGTTGAGAGCTCTTGAGTATTTTGGTCCCTTCCCACACTCCTGGTTACTTATTCCCCACCCCCCTCTGATTTTTCCATTTACTTTGAATCTCTCTAGCTGTTAGTCTGGCACATGGTAAAAGCATCATATACGTTTATTAACTGACTGACTGGAAATGCAAAAGTCTGGTCAGGTGGCGCTGAGGAAAGGGAGGCGAACCTACATTATCTGTGCAGACCTGCTAGTGCCGTACATGTTAGCTCATGTTGAAAGTGGCCACTGAGAGGTAACAAGAGATGTGAAGGTGGTCACTCAGCTTCGGTGAGAGAGCCACCTATCTCATGGCTTAAGAACAGAGCTAACATTTAGGGTGTTAGCATCACCCTACCTTTACAAAGTTGGGCAGTCTCATAGCTGGTCCTTCCAACAGGGCACAGCCCATCCTGCCGTCTGGTGCGGGCAGAGCCCCTCCACCCAGGTGTGCTCAGCATCCCCAAGCCTCCCAGGGCTACTCAGCTCAGTTCTGAAATCCTCCAGGACATTCTGCCAACTCATAAAACCCAGGTCCAAGTCACTGGCAAATATACTAGCAGTTTTTCTCAGGAATGTACTCATAGGAAATAGAACAAAAATCTTTTTAAAAACCCTTTTGTGCCAAATTTACAATTACAATTTGAAATGGTAGAGAAAGAGTATAAAGATCTCTCCAAGCCCTTTATTTATTCACTAAAATACTTGAATATTTTATTGATCTTGTCTAAGCTCCAAACTTTTACACTATTTTGGTAAGCATTAAAATTTTATTAAATGCTTCTGTATGGTCACATTGAAAAATCTTGCCTTCAAAAATTAACCTGGGTAGTTTACACATAAATAAGCCTGTTTCTTAGAACTTCGATAAAACTAGAAAGCATTTTCTATACTGGAAAGTATAGTAAAGTAGGAAAATGCTAAAGGTAATGAACAAAACTGCTTTTCTTTTTAAAAAAAATATTTTATTGATTATGTTAAAGATTGTCCCCATCTCTCCCTCCTTGCCCGCTTCTACCCAGCACCCCTCTTCCCTCCAGCAGCCACCCCAGTGCAAGTCCATGGCCGTACATGTAAGTTCTTTGGCTACCCCACTACCCAAACTGCTCTCAACATCCCCCTGCCTATCCTGCACCAGCCAATTTGCACTTCCTAATCCCTGTACCCTTCCCTCCACATTCTCCCTTCCCCTCCGAACTGATAACATTGCAAATGATCTTTCTATCTATGATTCTGTTCCTGTTCTGTTTGTTTGCTTAGTTTGTTATTTGGATTCAATTACTGATAGTCACGAATCTATTGCTTTTTTAATGGTCATTGTTTTGATATTCTTCTTTTTCTTATATAATTCCCTTTAACATTTTGTATAATTATGGCTTGGTGATGATGAATTCCTTTAGTTTTAACCTGTCTGGGAAGCACTTTTTCTGCCCTTCAATTCTAAATGATAGCTTTGCTGGATAGAGTAATTTAGGTTATAGATTCTTGCTTTTCATCACTTTGAATACTTCTTGCCAGTCCCTTCTAGCCTGAAAAGTTTCTTTTGAGAAATCAGCTCACAGTCTGATGGGAACTACTTTGTAGGTAACTAACTGCTTTTCTCTTGCTGCTTTTAAGATTCTCTCTTTCTTTAACCTTTGGCATTTTAATTATGATGTGTCTTGGTGATCCTTTTTGGGTCCCCTTTGTTTGGGACTCTGTGCTTCCTGGACTTGTAAGTCTACTTCCTTCACCAAATTAGGGAATTTTTCTTTCATTATTTTTTCAAATAGATTTCAAATTTTATGCTCTTCCTCTTCTCCTTCTGGCACCCCTATGATTCATATGTTGATATGTTTAAAGATATCCTAGAGGTTCCCAAGTCTATCCTCATTTTTTAAAAGTCTTTTTCCTTCCTGCTGTTTTAATTGAATACTTTTTCCTTCCTTGTGTTTCAAATCATTGATTTGATTCTTGGTGTCATCCCCTCCA